AGTTTTGGTGTACTAGAAGGAGTTTTACTTTATCTAACAGGACATACTAGTTTTATAGCATTTATTGTAAATACGTTTTTTTAATTAATATTTACGTGCTAAATCACGCTCTGCTACCCTGGATTCTGCAACTGATCAAAGATAATTTTTTAAAACTGTGAAGTGTCACAGCATCCAACAGAGCAGCCCATGCAAACATCCAGTTTCAAAGGAGCCAATTCATCTGTTTTAACTTTTTTCTTATTCTTAATTCTTTATTCGCATTAATCCTTCAACTATATCAATACAATATCAAGCAGCCAAGTGATGAGAAGAAAGAAAAATGTCAAGTAAGGGATGACTAGTTGGTCAAATGCCAAATTCTCCAAACTTACATCATAAGAACGTATGACAGACAGTAAAGAGAATTACCACTGAAATCTTGGGAGTGAAAGGGTCAAGGCTCGTGACATTTCTGTTATGTTAAACTTGAAGGTCATTTTTTTTATATTTAAACACCAATTAGCACCCACTGTTAAGGTTTCCTTCCAAAATGACCAATAGGGTTTTTAAATTGAAAAAAAGTAGCAGGAGGAAATTGTAAAGTAGCCAGAGCACTATCTCATTACAATTACGGCAGCCTTGTGGGGTGGTGTGTTAGAATACGAAAGTACCTGGCGCAAATGCTTGAAGTAGCTGGAGACTTGTAGCGGGCACTGGCTAAATTTGAAAACCATGGTTCAGTGATCTCCTTGACTCCGGGCCAAGAGGTGTGAGTTCAAGACTTGGTGGAGTCATTGTGTTGTATTCTTTGGAAAGGTAGCTTATTCTCACAATGCCTCTCTCCAACCAGGAGTATAAATGGATACTGTCCCTCTCCACCCAGGAGTACTAATGGGTACTGTCTCTCCTCCCCCCCCTCCTCACCCAGGAGTATAAATAGGAAGGGGTACAACAAACTGCTAAGTGAACCTGACAAAATGCTAGGGGGTGGAAGGTAAATTGTCATGGACTAACATTCCATCCAGTGGGGGGAGGGGGGAGGAGTAACACTCCTAGTTGCTTCATGCTACAGAAACCCAGATAAGCTTTGGGTGCATGGGCCACATGGCTCAAGTGCAGACTATGGCTTTTTTTACCACCAGTCTTTCACTCCTAGAGGTGACTAAACATCCAAGCTCTCCCTATGATATCCACACATCATCCAGTAAACACATATTGAGAATACTCAAACTTATCAGGCAGAAGTGATGATCTTGATCTAACACCAAACTCTTGTCACTACTTTTCAAGGAAATGTTTAACAGCTACAGTGGAGAATTGATAATCAGATCTTGGGAGTTAAAAGGTAAAATAGCTAAAGGTTAATGTTGTTCTTGCCATCAGACTCTTCCACTTTACGAGAACATCACATTGTCGATGGAAGCAAACTTCACTTATCCGTGAAGAAACAAACTGATGGAGCCAGCAGTGGAAATACTAGTGAATTTTTTAGATTACTGAGAGATTTTCTCCGAGGCCATTTTAGTGAGCAGGAATCTGAGCAAGTGATGCAAAAATTCAAGGAGGTTTGTTGTTATTTACCCTTTTTAAAAAGGAGATTTCGTGCTAATCAAGAACTGACTTATGCGTCCATGTTTATCATACCTTTTACTAACTGATTATAAGGTCAGTATTGCAAGTTGCCGACCAGGTTTTTCCACTTGGATTTATGGGTTAGGCACTAATTCCAAGGGCAAAAATCCAATAAGGAAAAACAAGGTTACTTAGTAAGATATTTATCTTATCAGGAGGTGGCGNGTGTAATAAAATTGAATACATATCAACTGATCAATCAAGAGGAAGATGAATTCTACTTAACTTTTTGAACAATTTCTGGAAGATTAGTATAACAATCTTTTGAAGCTAGGAACTCAAAAAGTGTTTGTTTTATTACCCAGGTTTATTGTTTGTTGTTTTATATCCTTGCAGCCACTCACTGGATTTGTTCGGTTACCCCTAGTTCAACTCCTTGCTGCACTCTGTAAATAGCCCATTGGTTTGCCTCCTGCCAGTGGGGATTTTTAAGCACTTAGTCTACATTGTAGCTGAAAAGGCCTTAAGGGGAGCTTCAGTTTACTTATTTATTTATTTATTATTATTATCTCTGGGTTCAAAAAGAGAAGGAAAAATTTCACTTTGAACTAAATTCTGACTTTGAAATTCAATAGCACATGCACTAACTGAGAGTTGTAATAAAATGATATGTGATGCTTGTAGAAAACTCAAAAGATTTGTGAGTTGCTGGCTTCTTGAGTGCTCTAAAAATTTCCATACTCAGGGCCCGACACCAATGGTAGCCAACTAGCCACAGATAGTAGAAATTCAGTTTTGGTTAGTGGTTTTTGATTTCCACAGTTTGGCAAGTGAACAAACTGAAATTGTTGTAACATTATTTTAAGTTGTCACTTGCCACTTGGCTAGTACGTTGAAAAGTTAGTGTCATGCCCTGGACTGGTGCTTCATATCCTAAGGACTGCACAACTTATATTTAAACCTATTAATTTATCACATTTCTAGGGCAATGCTTTCAACCCTTTACACCTGACTATCTGTATCCATTTTCTCCATACTCCTCTAGATGCATCCCTTTTGATACTGTTAAGGAGAATTTGTAAAAAGAAAAAAAGAAAAAATCGAAGTATCTTAGTTTGGCAGTCGTGTCATTGATTCTCATAATGTTATTGAATGACTCAGCAGTATTACTGTAAGGTGAAGCAAGGCTGTGTTTTAAGAAAAATTGAAGGGAGCCCAGTGCTCTGAAACTGTGAAATCCAGGGTGCCCAGCATATGCTTTATATGAAATTAAAATAGATTCCTGAGTCGCCCAAGAGCAAAAGTAAGGGGCCAGGGGCCACCAGGCACTGCTAGAGCACAGCCCTGATGAAATGAGATGCTGATCACCTTTTGGGTTCAAAGTTTTTCTAATTGAAATTAGGCTCATTTATGCTTATACACACACATCATCAAAGTGGACGTTTAGCAGACTTGAGAAAAAAGAATGTTTTGAAACAAATTTTGTATCAATTGTACTTACTAAGCTTGCAAATTGGTTGAATAATGGATTTGGCTGACCAAATTTGACCCTTAAGAGTGACTTGTAACTAATTTCTCTTGACGACATCATTCCTGAATCGTACATTAAGGTCACAAGAATAAAGGGAAAGATCACCAACTAAAGAAGCACTTGATTGTTAAACAAATTTGCCTTGTCAGCACCAAGTACAAAGTTTATCATAAGAGCGCAGTATGGAGAAAAGGTATACTGATCTTGGGGAAGGAAGAATTCTTGTGCTTTATGAGTAGTTGAATGTCCTTGTGTGACCACTTCAAGGAAGTAATGTTTGAGCTAATGTGCTACATTCTTCTCTGTTTTATCTTCTATAAAGGATTTCAAGACATGGGTTTGGTCTCTCAGCCTTGAAGACATTGAGCGAATGGCAGCTCTTCATTTGAGAGAGGCCTCTGATGAACAATGACCCAGCCTTAACTGCCCCCACCCCCTCCCATTATCCCCAGTAGTCCTCAAA